CACATAAGGACAAGAAAACAGATACTATAAATATGCTCCACAAAATCAAGAATGTAAAGGAGAACATAAACACAAAGAGGAGCAAAATCAAAGATTTTTTTTTTTCGGTAACAGCTTTACTGAGATATAATTCACATAGGGAAATTGGAGATTTTTAAAAAGAACAAAATACAACCTCTAGAGATGAAAATACAATATCTGAAAGGAATATTTCACTGAATGAGATTTATGGCAAATTAGACACTACAGAAAAAAAGAAATCACTGAACTTGAAAACGTAGCAGGAGAATGGATGGAAAATGAAGTACAAGGAGAAATAAGACTGGAAAACAAATGAAAAGAGCTTCAGTGATTTGAGGCATAATGTCAAGTAACCTGGGATCCCTGTTAATAAACTCCCAGCAGAAGAGGGAGGGAGGAGACAGAAAAGATATTTGAGGAAATAACATCCCCCCAAAATTTTCCAGATTTGATGAAAATTATAAACCCATGGACCCAAGAAGCTTTAAATGAACTCCAAACAAAATTTTAAAAAAGAAAGAAAAAATTTTTAAAATACTAGACTAAGGCCCATCAAAACCAAATGTGTGCAATCCAGTGATAAAAAGAAAATCTTAAAAGCAAAGGCAAAAAAGATAAATTAGGGAAATCAACATCCTATAATTTAAAAACACAAAAAAAACTACCTTGATGACACACATGCTAAAGATTAAGAACATCTGAAGGAATACTGTGACTCCCTTTCTTCTCAAATATATGACTTTTCCAACGTATACTTTACCTAGGTTACTGCAACTTCTCTTATTCTAGAAATACATCTTTGAATCTCTTTTCAAATGTATGCTCTACCTCGTTTATTATCATTCCCTTTAATATTCAAACACATACTTAAATCGCTTTTCAGATGCATCAAGTTTCCTTGTGAGTATAAAAGCTTCCTTCCTCTGTGGATCCCAGGTGTAAAAAAGAACTTGTAAATTGAAGAGTCAAGACCTGAGGTGAAGCCATACAATGGGATACTATTCAGCAATAAAAAGGAATGAAGTACTTCAGAATAGTCCAAACCACTGACAGAAAGTAGAACGGTGGCTGCCAGGGGTTGAAGAGGTGAAATGGGAGTTATTGTAATGAGTGCAGAGCTTCAGCTTTGCAAGATGAAAAGAGTTCTAGAGACGGATGGTGGTGACGGCTGCACAACAAAATGAATGTTCTTAATACCACAGAACATACCCTTAAAAATGGTTAAGACGGTAAATTTTACATTATGTGTATTTTACCACAATAAAAAAAAAACAACCCAAATTTTTTTTAAAAAGGAAGGAGGTACTGATACATGCTGCAACATGGATGAACCTTGGAAACATTACACCAAGTGAAAGAAACCAGAAAAAAAGGCCACATATTGTGTGATTCTATTTATATGAAATGTTCAGAATAGGCAAATCTATAGACACCAAGTAGGTTTGTGGTTGCCTAGGGCTGGGGGCGTGCCGGGGAAAATAGGGGAAGTGACTGTGAATGGGTACAAGGTTTATTTTTGGGATGATGAAAATGTTCTGAAATTGACTTTAATAACAATGGTTGCACAAATCAGTGAACATACTAAAAGTCATTGAATTGTACCTGCTAAATGGGTGAATTGTATGGTATGTGAATTATATCTTAATAATTCTGCTATTAAAAATAAAACTGAGGTGGAGCAAGTCACCAGCTCCTGGCTCATGGATGCTCCTCTCCCTTGTTCCTGAGTGTCATTTTTAACAAGTAACAAAGGTTTTATTTCAAAACATTCCAAGTCTGTTGCCATATTTCCACAACTCTCACCTCAGCTCTCTTGTGTGGCCTTGGGTAAGTTACTTACCTGTGGTAACACTCAATTCTCCTCATCTGTCACCCACCTCTTCCTCCACAGGAGGACAAGGTTGTTGGGGAGAATAAATGAGCTACGAAAGCCTCAAGAACAATGGCAGGCATACAGTGGGTGCCCAATAACTGCTTGGAGAATTGACTGAAAAACTGAACAGATCAGGTCTATGTAGAGTACTGAATTTAAAAAGTTAAACAGCCCCAGAAAATGCAACATTAATACATGGTAAATAATTCTGTCAAGTCATGCCTCCTTCAGAAAGGAGGAGGGAAAGGGTATTTTCAGCTTTATCTTTCTCTTTAGCCATGCATCTCCATTTCTATAGTTATTTCATACCAAGGCTTTCCTGTTGACCCTAAATCCAAATTTTACATTTTGAGGAGGGAGAGATATTCTACATACTTGATCCAATGAACCAGATTGGCTTTTTTGTTTTTTGTTTTTGTCTCATTCTCTTTATCTAATTTCCCGGGGCTAATAAAGAAAGAAGCATTTTCTGTCTTCCCTTATCACAAATTCTCTGAGACCAAAAACTAGAAGAAAATCTGCTCAGCCATCCGCATCCACCCACCTCTAGCAGGCCAGGGCTGAGGAATGGTGGCTTAGCCAAAGCCTTCTAGCAGAAAGAGCAGCTCCGTGACGAAAGAGGACAGGAAGATCAACATGGCCTAACACTGAACATCGTTCAAAATGCTCTGCTAAGTGGGAAAGGAGAGCTGCAAAGTAGTAAATGTAATACAATGCAATTTATATTATTTTTAGTTAACTAATTCGTGGGTCTATTGCGTACATATATATGTGTATAAATAGAAAACCCGGAAGAATATATAATAGCTCCAAAAATCAGCAGTAGGCTTCCCTGAAAGGGAGGGATTATGAGGTCTTTCACTGTGTACCTTCTACATTTCCGTATTGCTTGAAATTTTTCTAACAAGAATGTTTTACTTTTATAATCTGGACAAAAATTAGCTAGAGAGAATAAAAGAGAAACTGGCACAACTCCAGCTCTTACCTCCACCCCCCCGACCTCCTACCCACACCACCACTCATGGAGAGGCCCTCTACCCAAGCACAATGGGGACCTCTCTCTACAAAGGAAAAGAGGCACAACTCTCCAACAGCCTCCTCTGCTTCTGGAGAATGAAAGGATATCAGAGCCCTGACTGGTGAGAATGAAGAACCGCGGCCACAGAACTCACCAGGATTTCCAGACTTGACTAAATCACTCTCTCCTTCCTTTTCTTGAACTTTCTTTGCTTTCTTTTTAACAGGCCCATCATTCTCCAGTGGTCTCTTTTTACTTCTGTCAGTTTCTGCAACCTATATCAGGAAGGTTAGAAAATGATGTGTTATCTCTAATCTCAAAACCTGATGTATGCAAAATAACTTAAACCTTATTTCTGAATGACGACCAGGGCCTTGCTATGCACCCTTCATAGAATTATCCACATTAAGCTCCGGGAAGACATATGGGTGAACTGTTTTTACCATCATTAAAGACAAGGTGGAGACTGGCAGGTCATTAGCCCCAGCACCTCAACCCCTGCTAGAATTAACGAGAACCAACACTCCTCCCTTTCTATACCCAATCAGCCTTCACGGGGCTGGCCAGGTGCACAGTGGTTAAGTTCACACGTTCCACTTTGGTGGCCTGGGGTTCGCCAGTCCGGAGCCTGGGTGTGGAGCTATGCACTGCTTATCAAGCCATGCTGTGGCAGGCATCTCACATATAAAGTAGAGGAAGATGGGCACGGATGTTAGCACAGGGCCAGTCTTTCTCAGCAAAAAGAGGAGAATTGGCATCAGATGTTAGCTCAGGGCTAATCTTCCTCAACAAAAAGAAAAATCAGCCTTCACCAAGTCTCATATTATAGAACTTGAATTACCCTACTTATATATGTTAAATAAAATACCTTTAAGAAAAAAACTAATATTTATTTAGAAAAGATAAAATTAGATAATAAAAGAACAGAATCATTTTTCAAATGTTAATTGTAATTTATCTCTATGTTCACCACTGAAGATGCCACAAGATTATGAACCACCTGTTGGCAGGAAATCTGTCAAAAATCCTTCAGCAAATATCCTCTAAATGGTGGGTGTAAAATAAAATCTTGGTGAATTCATGAAAATGCAAACTATCGTCAAAAAAAAAAAAAAAGACAAGAGAGGAGCAATCACTCCATGGAAGAAATGTAAACGAAGGGAACAAGATTTTGAAGCAGCCAAGCTGTGAGCCACATTAAAACTTGGCAGGGTGGCTAAAAGCCAGTCTGCCAGCCCCTTCCACAGCGTCATTCTGAGAAATCCTGCACCACAGAGTCCAGAGAGGGAGCACCCTTAGACTTTCCCCCATGGCAATGTCTCTAGTAAGAAGAAAACAAACAAAAAAAACCACTTATTTTACTCAGTTGAAGGGTGGCAAGCAACAGGAAGGATCCAATGACCAACCATCACATCTGTACCATCTTAAGAAACTTTACCCACCCAAACTGTGTATTAGACTTTATGATCTGAAGTGTAAGGGTGTAATCACTGGGGAGCTCACAACATGACTGCTTTTACCCATAGTCGCTTGGAATATTCAGCAATGCTGTTGCGGCCTTAAAGACTAGAGATTTAACGGCAGTTTTCTAGTCACCCAAACACATGTAAAGCTCCTCTTGAACCCTCAATCCAGAAAAAAAAAAAAAAAGAGGAGGGAGAACAGAGGTTACAAGACGCATCCTTTGCCCTCAGGCCCCTATCCTCATCACAATGAGAGTCAGGAGACCTGAGTTTCCGTCTCAGGTCTGCCATTAAGAACCTGTATGATCTTAGCCTCAAGTCTTTTACCCCAAATGGAAACTAAAGTCTTGTAATTACAATATTCAGCCGCCCAGGCTTTTCCCTCCTTCTCCTTCCCGAGCCCCGCCCCTTTCTCATCTGGCCGCGTCCTCTCGCCGATTCTCGCGAACACTCTCCGCCTCCTCCCGCTCCACTCACAAGCCCCGCCCCCTCGCCCCGATGGCCCCGCCCCGACCTGGACCAAACTCACCAACTGTGGCGGCAACGGAGGCGGGAAAGAGGACGCTAGGGGCGCTGCGGCATCGGAGTCAGGGTCCGCCTTCTCGGCAGCCCCCGGGGGAGAGGAGGTGGACTTCAGGCTTCCCGCAGACTGGAAGAATCTGCTCAAAACCGCCTGCCTTGCCGGGGCTGGGCCGGCAGCAGCGGCGCCGCCAGCGGCAGGCTTCCGACGCGACATCCCGGGGCCAGGAGTGACAGCCCAGGGGCAGGCCCGAGCCGGGAGCGCGAACCCGCGGCCGCAGGTCCCGGGCGTCTGCGGGCGCGAGCACGTCGCGACCCTGCGGTGCGCCGGGGCAGGAGGCGGGGCGGGGGCGGGATCTCGCCTGCACAAATCGGGCCGAGGGGCGTGGTGGCCGCTATTTGGCGCCACACTTGACCGGGAATCCAGGTGTCGCGAGCGAGCTCGAGAGTGTTTGCTGCCGCTGTCATGGTTCGTCCGCTAAATTGCATCGTCGCCGTGTCGCAGAATATGGGCATCGGCAAGAACGGGGACCTGCCGTGGCCCCCACTCAGGTACCTGCTGGGCGGGGGAGAGTTGGGTGTGCGGGGATCGAAGCTGGCGCAAGATGCCCTTGACCTGGGCGCCCGGGCGGAGCCGCGCCGGGCCGACTGGCAGCGGGAGGATGGGGCCGGGCTTGCGACATGAACTCACCGGGCCTGGGCCTGGGCCTCCTTCTGTGTCAGGAGCCGAGAGGCCAAGTTACTGATTTCCGTCCCGCTCCTGCTGCCCTGCGAGGCCTTTCCCCTCGCGCCCGCCCCAGAGCAAAGTCCCGGTCCTGGAGAAGCCACCCCCACCCCGGGCACCATGTGTCCGGCGTGGGTACCGTTCTGAGTAACGCTGTGTTTCTCTAACTTGTAGGAATGAATTCAAGTATTTCCAAAGAATGACCACAGCCTCTTCAGTAGAAGGTAATATGGGATTTTTAAGTGATAGAGGTTCGCCAACAGTCTTGCTGGAGTAAGCTTACCAGTGCAAATTTTACTTAAATCAAAAGTCTTCCCTGTTAATCTGGGACCGTTTCTCTTACCATCGATCTGTATGCAGTTCCCAAGGTTCATTAAACATCTTTTTTTTTTTTCAGTCTCTACGTTTTTAGTTGTTTTTGAATTTTACTAATAGTACCTTATCCTGAACACTTCCTTTCTTTTTTTTTATTGAGTTCATAATAGTTTACATTATTTCTTGACTGTCACCGCATAAGGGCTCCCCTTCACCCCTAGGTCTACCCCCCACCCCCCTTCCCCTGGTAACCACTGACTGTTTTCTTTGTCCATGTGTTTGTTTATATTCCACATATGAGTAAAATCATATGATGTTTGTCTTTCTCAGTCTGGCTTATTTCACTTAACATGATTCCCTCCAGGTCCTTCCATGTTGTTGTAAGTGGGATGATTTTGTCTTTTGTTATGTCTGAGTGGTATTCCATTGTATATATGCCACATCTTCTTTATCCAATCATCGGTGGATGGGCAGTTGGATTGTTACCATGTCTTGGCTATTGTGAATAGTGCTGCAATGAACATAGGGGTGCATAGGACTCTTTGGATTGTTGATTTCAAGTTCTTTGGATAAATACCCAAGTAGTGGGACAGCTGGATCATATAGTATTTCTGTTTTTAATTTTTTGAGAAATCTCCATACTGTTTTCCATAGTGGCTGCACCAGTTTGCATTCCCACCAGCAGTGTATGAGAGTTCCCTTTTCTCCACAACCTCTCCAACATTTGTTATTTTTGTCTTAGTGATTATAGCCATTTAATAGGTGTAAGGTGGTATTTTAGTTGAGTTTTGGTTTGCATTTCCCTGATGATTAGTGAGGTTGAACATCTTCTCATGTATTTACTGGCCATCTGTATATGTTCTTTGGAAAAGTGTCTGTTCATATCCTCTGCCCATTTTTTGATCGGGCTTCGTTTTTTTGTTGTTCAGTTGTGTGAGTTCCTTACATATTATGGAGATTAAACCCTTGTCAGAAATATGATTTGCAAATATTTTCACCCAATTGGTGGGTTGTCTCTTTGTTTTGATCCTCGTTTCTTTTCCTTGCTTACGCTCTGTAGTCTGATGAACTCCCACTTGTTTATTTTTCCTTTTGTTTCCCTTGTCTGAGAAAACATGGTATTCGAAAAGATCCTTTTTAGTTCGATGTCAAAGAGTGTAGTACCTATATTATCTTCCAGGAGTTTTATGGTTTCAGGACTTATCTTCAAGTCTTTGATCCATTTTGAGTTTATTTTTGTGTATGGCATGAGATAATGGTCTACTTTCATTCTTTTGCATGTGGGCTGTCCAGTTTTCCCAACACCATTTATTGAAGAGACTATCTTTTCTCCATTGTATGTTCTTGGCACCTTTGTCGAAGATTATCTGTCCGTAGTTCTGCGGTTTTATTTCTAGACTTTCAGTTCTGTTCCATTGATCTGTGTGCCTGTTTTTGTACCAGAAATGATGCGGGGTCGGTGAGCCGAGCAGTCAAAAGAAAGATTTCTTAGACTCTCAAGATCTGGCAGTAGTGCTCTTTTATTTAGAGAATAGTGTGGAATAGCATGGGGACAGGACCCATGGGCAGTCAGAGCTTCTGCTGCCGCCGCTTCTGCTGCCCCCGCTGGCATGGGGACAGGGCCCATGGGCAGGCAGAGCAGCTGCTGCTGCCCCCGCTGGCATGGGGACAGGACCCATGGGCAGGTAGAGCTGGTGCGTGGGGACAGGACCCACGGGCGGTCAGAGCTCCTGCTGCTGCTGCATGGGGACAGGACCCATGGGCAGTCAGAGCTCCTGCTGCTGCTGCATGGGGACAGGACCCATGGGCAGTCAGAGCTCCTGTTGCTGCCACTTCTGCTGCCCCCGCTAGCATGGGGACAGGGCCCATGGGCAGGCAGGGCCGCTGCTGCTGCCCCGACTGGCATGGGGACAGGACCCATGGGCAGGCAGAGCTGGTGCATGGGGACAGGACCCACAGGCAGTCAGAGCTCCTGCTGCTGCTGCATGGGGACAGGACCCATGGGCAGTCAGAGCTCCTGCTGCTGCCGCATAGGGACAGGACCCATGGGCAGTCAGAGCTCCTGCTGCCCTGAGTTGAGGGTTAGGGCTAATTTTATAAGGCATGGGTACGTGACTTATTTTTACTGGAAAAAAAGAAAAGATGATGTAAAAAGTCATTAAATGATTTCAGTGCAGATGGGGTCTGGTTATTGTGCGGTCATATAACTTTAGATACGAATCTGGCCATATAGATCGGCATGTAGGTGAGGATGCCCTGGGCTTCTCTCCCTGGGGCGGTCCTAATTCATACCATAAAAAAAGTCCACTGGGTCGTATAGTTTGGCATGTAGGCCAGGTCACCTTGGGCTTCTCTAGCTGGGGCAGCCTTAATCCACATCAGTACCATGCTGTTTTGATCACTATGACCTTGTAGCACATTTTGAAGTCACGGATTGTGATTCCTCCAGCTTTGTTCTTTTTTCTCAGGATTGCCTTAGCAATTCAAGGTCTTTGGTTACCCCATATGAATTTTAGGATTCTTTGTTCTATTGCCATGAAGAATGTCATTGGGATTCTGATTGGAATTGCACTGAATCTGTAGATTGCTTTGGGTAGTATGGACATTTTAACTAAGTTTATTCTTCTAATCCATGTGCATGGAATCTCTTTCCATCTCTTTATGTCATTATCAATTTCATTCAGTGATGTTTATAGTTTTCAGTATAAGTCCTTCACCTCCTTGGTTAAATTTATTCCTAGGTACTTTATTCTTTTTGTTGTGATTGTAAATGGAATTGTATTCTTCAGTTCTCTTTCTGTAAGTTCGTTATTGGAGTATAGAAAAGAAACTGATTTTTGTAAGTTGATTTTGTACCCTGCAACTTTACTGTAGTTGTTAATTATTTCTGTTAGTTTTTCCATGGATTCTTTGCAGTTTTCTGTATATAAGATCATGTCGTCTGCAAACAGCAAGAGTTTTACTTCTTCACTCCCAATTTGGATTCCTTTTATTCCTTTCTCTTGCCTAATTGCTCTGGCCAAAACCTCCTGTACTATGTTGAATAAGAGAGGTGGTAGTGGAAATCCTTGTCTTCTTCCTGTTCTCAGGGGGATGGCGTTCAGTTTTTGCCCATTGAATATGATGTTAGCTGTGGATTTGTGATGTATGGCCTTTATTATGTTGAGGTAATTTCCTTCTATCCCCATGTTGTTAAGAGTTTTTATCGTAAATGGCTATTGGATCTTGTCAAATGCTTTCACTGCATCTATTGAGATGATCATGTGGTTTTTATTCCTCAATTTGTTGATGTGGTGTATCACATTTATTGATTTGCGGATGGTGAACCATCCCTGTGTCCTGGTATAAATCCCACTTGATCATGATGTATGATCCTTTTGATGAATTGCTGAATTCGGGTTGCCAAGATTTTGTTGAGGATTTTTGCCTCTGTGTTTATCAGCAATATTGGCCTGTAGTTGTCCTTTTTTGTGTTGTCCTTATCAGGCTTTGGTATCAGAGTGATGTTGGCCTCCTAGAATATGTTAAGTAGTATTCCATATTCCCTAATATTTTGGAATAGCTTGAGAAGGAGAGGTGTTAAAACCTGTCTGAAAGTTTGGTAGAATTCCCCAGGGAAGCCATCTGGTCCTGAGCTTTTATTCTTTGCGATGCTTTTGATTACTGTTTGAATCTCTTGCCTTGTGATTGGTCTATTCAGATTATCTGTTTCTTCTTGATTCAGCTTTGGGAGGTTGTAAGAGTCTAAGAATTTATCCATTTCCTCTAGATTATCCATTTAGTTGGCATATAGTTTTTGGTAGTATTCTCTTATAATCCATTGCATTTCTGTGGTGTCTGTTGTTATTTCTGCTCTTTCATTTCTAATTTTGTTTATCTGAGCTTTCTCTCTTTTTTTCTTTGTGAGTGTGCATAGAGGTTTGTCAATTTTATTTATCTTCTCAAAGAACCAGCTCTTCGTTTCATTCATCCTTTCTACTACCTTTTTTGTTTCAGTAGTATTTATTTCTGCTCTGATTTTTATTATTTCTCTCCTTCTGCTGTCTTTGGGCTTTGTTTGTTCTTCTTTTTCTAATTCACTTAGTTGTAATTTGAGATTGCTTATTTGAGATTTTTCTTGTTTGTTAAGATGTGCCTGTATTGTGATGAAATTTCCCTCGTGATACGGCTTTTGCTGCATCCCATGCTTTCTTCAGTAATCCATGACTTGTTCAATAGCTTGTTCTTTAGTCTCCACATCTTTGTCCCTTTCTCAGTTTTTTTCTTGTAATTAATTTCTAGCTTTATAGCATTGTGATCAGAAAAGATGCTTGTTATTATTTCAATTTTCTTAAATTTATTGAGGCTTGCCTCGTTTCCCAACATGTGGTCTATCCTTGAGAATGTTCCATGCACACTTGAGAAGAATGTGTATTCTGCTGTTTTTGGATGGAGTGTTGTATGTTATGTCTATTAAGTCCAACTGGTTTAGCTTTTCATTTAATTCCACTGTTCCTTGTTGATTTTCTGTCTGGATGATCTATCCATTGATGTGAGTGGAGTGTTGAGGTCCCCTACTATTATTGTGTTATTATTAATATCTTCTTTTAGGTTTGTTAATAGTTGCTTTATGAACTTTGGTGCTCCTGTGTTGGGTGCATAGATATTTATAAGTGTGTCTTCTTGATAGAGTGTCCCTTTGATCATTATATACTGCCCGTCTTTGTCTCTCTTTACCTGTCTTATCTTGAAGTCTACTTTGTCTGATATAAGTGTTCCAACACCTGCTTTCTTTTGTTCACCATTAGCTTGGATTGTTGTCTTCCATCCCTTCACTCTGAGCCTGTGTTTGTCATTGGAGGTGAGGTGTGTTTCCCGGAGGCAGCATATTGTTGGGTCTTGTTCTTTAATCCATCTCACCACTCTGTGTCTCTTTATTGGAGAATTCAATCCATTTATGTTTAGGGTGATTGTTGATGTATGAGGGCGTAACGCTGTCATTTTATCACTCATTTTCTGGTTCTCCTACGTTTCCTTTATTTTTCCTATGTGTTTTGATCTACCCATTGAATTATGTGGTTTTTTATGATGTGTTTCTTTGTTTTCTCCTTATTTATTATTATTATTTTTTTAATCTTTTTTTTTTTTTTTGAGGAAGATTAGCCCTTAGCTAACTACTGCCAATCCTCCTCTTTTTGCTGAGGAAGACTGGCCCTGAGCTAACATTCATGCCCATCTTCCTCTACCTTATATGTGGGATGCCTACCACAGCATGGCTTTTGCCAAGCGGTGCCATGTCCGCACCCAGGATCCGAACCGGCAAACCTCAGGCCGCCGAGAAGTGAAAGGTGCACACTTAACCGCTGCGCCACTGGGTTGGCCCCCTCTCCTTATTTATTATTTGTATCTCTGTTCTACTTTTTTGTTTAGTGTTTACCATGAGGTTTGTATTCAGAATCTTGTGTATAAGAGAGTCCATTTTCTCGTGGCCTCTTATTTCCTTAGTCAAAACCAATTCAGTCCCTGCCTCCTCCCCTCCTAAGTTGTTTTTCTCACATCTTATTCCATCTTGTGTGTGAGTTTGTGGTTAAAATGACAAGATTGTCTCTGTTTATGGTGTTTTTCTTCCCTTTATCTTTAATGCTTTACTTGAGTATTTGCTGTGCTGTTCTCATTCTGTCTACCTCTTTATCTCCTTGTTCTGTGATTTGTGACCCCTTTCTCCCCTTTTTTTCTTTTTCAGATATGAGGGCTTTCTTGAGGATTTCTTTGAGGGGGGAGGTGTCACATGGCTGTGAACTCCCTTAGCTTTTGTTTGTCTGGGAAAGTTTTTATTTCTCCATCGTATCTGAAGGACATTTTTGCTGGATAGTTTTCTTGGCTGAAAATTTTTGTCTTTTAAAGATTTGAATATGTCGTTCCATTCTCTCCTAGCTTGTAATGTTTCTGCAGAGAAATCTGCCGAAAGCCTGATAGGGGTTTCTTTGTGGGTTATTTTCTTCTGACTTGCCGCCCTTAGTATTCTTCCTTTGTCATTCATTTTTGCCAGTTTTACTACTATATGCCTTGCAGTAGGTCTTTTTACATTGACATATCTAAGAGATCTGGAAGCTTCTTCCACTCGGATTTCCCTCTCTTTCCCTAGGTTTGGGAAGTTCTCTGCTATTTCTTTGAACATGCTTTCTGCTCCATTCTTCTTTTCTCCTTCTAGAATACCTATAATTCTTATGTTGTATTTCCTAATTGAGCAGGATATTTCTCAGAGACCTTCTTCATTCTTTTTAGTCTTAATTCTCTCTCCTCCTCTGTCTGGAGCACTTCAACATGTCTATATTCGATTATGCTGATACACTCCTCTATGATGTCCACTTGAGCGTTCAGGGAATCCGTATTTTGTTTTATCTCTTCCATTGTGTTTTTCATGTCTAGTATGTCTGATTGATTCTTCTTTATGGTTTCAATCTCTTTTGTGAAGTAGCTCCTGAACTCGTTGAATTGTTTCTCTACATTCTCTTTTACCTCATTGAGTTTTTTGATCATAGCTATTTTGAATTCACTGTCATTTAGACTACATATTTCTGTGTCCTTAGGACTGAATTCTGGGTACTTGTCATTTTCTCTCTGTTCTGAAGATTTGATATAATTTTTGATATTGCTAGAGGAGGTGGCTCAGGTGTTACACATCCTGATATTATTTGGTTGCAGTTATCACCTATCGCCATTGGGTGGGAGTCAAGAGCCGCATATTCTGAGCCCGCTGCCTTCAGTCGAGATCGCAGACAGTGGAGCATTCATGGGGCGGGTGGGGGAAGGGCACTTTCTCCTGCATGCTCTCCAGGCTCTCCCCCTCTGCTCTCGTTATGTGCTCTCCTGAGGTGTTGGCTTGATGAGGTCGCCCCCCACAAAGCTCTTGCCCCAGTAGAGATCTTCCCTTTAGGCTGCATGAGCCCTCATGGGTCCTTGAAGTTCCCGCAAACGACCGTCCCCTCCCGTGTTCCTTCCCTTACGGAGCCTCCCATGGCAGCGATAACAGTCTTTAGGCGAAGGAGTGAAGTTCTCTCTTACCCCTTTCCAGCTCCTCCAAGCAGGGCTGCAGCCTCTCTGCCCTCTGTCGTATGGCTGCATGTCTCTCCATTTCTGTGTTGTGTTTGGATGTCCTCTGTTGGAGTATGGATGTCCCTGTTCATTGTATGTTGGAGGGGAGAGAATCCCAGGCAAGTTCACTCAGCCGTGATGCTGATGTCCTTTTTTTTTTAAGTCCTTTGAAATTTTATGTGGGTACGTGTACAATTGAGGTATTGGGCAAAATTGGCAGCTAGTTAGAGGCTTCTGTGGAGGAGGCCTTAGGAGTAGCTGCTGGAAGTGAGGAGGGCATACAAGTCCAAAAACGGTTATGTGATCCTGGGTTTGGAGACCAGGAGTTTCAAGGAGATGCAGGAAGGCATCAAGGATGAACTCCCAGATTTCAGTGTGAGAGCCTGGGTGACATGTGGAGAATAGTGTGCCGTTGTAATGATGACAGTTTTGAGGTACCTGTAGGATATCCAGGATAATTTCAGACACAGGGAACCAGGTGAATTGATCCACTGGACAGAAGAGGATAACCAAGGAAAAGAATATGGGGGTGGGAGTACCCCATTTAAAACCTAAAAGACATATGCGTTTGATCACAGGAGAAAGAATAGCCCAGTGAACAGGGAAATAATAAGTCAGGAAGGAGCAGGTGCTGCATAACTTTAACAGGTCAGATGCCAGGTCCTTGGATTTGGTGCTTAGGTCACTGGTGCCAAAGATAAGATGGCAAGAGCTTGAAGCTAAAGAATCGATGTGACCCACTCTCAGGAATCCTAAATATGGTCTGGTAATAGGAAGAACATCCGATGCTTGGCCCGTTTGCTGGTTTTCAGTAACTACAATAGTCTCCACTTATCCATGGGGTGTATGTTCTAAGACCCCCAGTGGACACCTGAACCCTACATATACTATGTTTTTTCCTATACATACATACCTGTGATAAAGTTTAATTTATAAATTAGGTATAGTAAGAGATTAACAGCAATAACTAATAATAAAATAGAACAATTACAACAATCTATTGTAGTAGAAGTTACCATAGATCTTAGCAACCTCAGCATAATTTTCTTTTCTTTCCTCATTAAGTCAAGAACTGTCACCTTTTCACTTAAAGGAAGACTTTTACAGCTTCTCTTCAGCATATGTGAATTGCCAGCTTCACTACTCTTGTGCTTTGGGGCCATAATTAAGTAAAATAAGGGTTCCTTGAACACAAGCACTGCGATACTGCGACACTCAATCTAATAACCCAGACAGCTACCAAGTGACTAACCAGAGGGTAGTGGACACAGTGTGGATCCGGTGGACAAAAGGATGATTGATGTCTCCTGCAGGATGGCGCAGGAGTGCTCAAGATTTCATACACTAGTCAGAAGGGGGTATGATTTAAAATTTTTGAATTGTTTATTTCTGGAATTTTCCATTTAATATTTTTGTACCACAGTTGACCTCCAGTAACTGAAACCGCAGATAATGGGGGACTGCTGTACAGTATTTCTTGGGTGAATGAATGAAAGGGTACCAAGGGAGTCTTGGCTTTTTTTTTTAGTGTCTGTCTATGTTCTTCCCTCATAATCTCCACCTTAGCTGTTAGGCCAGGTCTGTACCATTCTCTCATCAGAATTCCTCACCTGTTGACATTCTTTTTAATAGTTGCGTCTCCTTATTGCTCACCTAAAGGTCTGTCCTTGAAAGTGCTGTGAATATTGTATAGGGGTACTGTAAATTCTTTAATTCTTGGAGGAAAAAAATTTTTACCAACATTTGGAGGTAATATTTGGTTATGAGTAGTGAAGCAAAATATGGAAATATGCTTAGTCTTACTATTTATAGTTTGTAAATGCTTGTGCTTTTGTTTAAAGAAAATCAAACTAATAATGATTCCTTAAGAAAATAGACATATGCACTCCTTTAGTCTATCAGAATATATCAAGAATCATAAAAATGTGTATGTTTCTTTGATCCAGATATCTGACTCTCAAGGTCTTTTCTCCTAAGTTATTAAACCAAAAATGGAAGGTGTATGTATAAAATTTTTATAGAAGCATTATACTTGAAAGAGAAGAAGAAAGGCACAACGGAAAGGGTTTCAAGCTGAATGGAATATTAAGCAGCTGTCTTTAAAAGTCTGACTATTAGTGTAACTCTACAAAGTACACAGATATGAATGCTGTTATATCATACTGTTAGAACAGAGCTTGTTAGATTCTGGACGTTGTTCTAAGTCTTCAATCCCCACAGCAACTCTGTAAGTAGGAACTATTGTTATCTCCATTTTATAGGTGAGGAAAGTAAGGGTCCGAAGGTTAACATGACTTGCCCAGTAGGTGGCAGAATACATTCAACTCAAGAACTTTGACCCAGACTCTTTGCTCTTAACAACTACAGTCATATCCCACATAACAACATTTGGTCAAGGATGGACAGCATATATGACAGTGGTCCCATACGATTAGTACCAGAGAGCCTAGGTAGTCAGCAGGCTGTACCGTCTAGGTTTGTGTAAGTGCACTCTATGATGTTTGCATGACGACGATGTCACCTAACGACATATTACTCAGAAAATATCCCCGTCGTTAAGTGACGTATGACTGTATAGTATACATGATTGCAGTTGATTAAAACTAAATATTGGGTAAAGCCAAAGGGGAAAATAGTTACTCTATTTGGATAATGGGTGATATATGTAAATTTGGGTAAAGCTGTTGTAAATTTTAGTTATTTTAAAGCATATCCACTAGATGTCACTATGACAACGATCTCTATATTTATATGAATATGTGGAAATATATATGTATATTCCCAAAATATGCTTATTCTTTCTATGTGATTTTATAGGTAAGCAGAATTTGGTGATTATGGGTAGGAAGACCTGGTTCTCCATCCCTGAGAAGAATCGGCCGTTAAAGGACAGAATTAATTTAGTTCTCAGTAGAGAACTCAAGTAAGTACTATGACATAAATTCACCACAAGAAAATCATGTCATATTTCTTATGATGAAGGCCAGTGTATGACAAATACAATAGTATGAATGTAGGTCTGCTAATAAAGCTGCTCAGTATCCTAAGCATGATTACAGAAAATGAATAAGCAGTTGTTTATGTCACAGGACAATGACTTACTCTGCTCCTTAAGTGATTAGTTTCATCACCATGAAAAGTTACATTAAATCTCACTGTGCTGACAGATTTGCCAGTTTCCTTGAACCATTATTTAGTAGGCTCAAATCTCATTTATACAGTATAATTAATAACTTTTCTCTAGTTTCACATAAAATCAAAATGTATGTTTTGAGACTTGCCAAAATTAAATGGTTATTCCCTCTCTGGAACCTGTCCTAAAAACAATAAGATGTAGGGGCAGCTGGTGGTGTTGTGGTTAAATTCTTGCACTCCACTTTGGCGGCCCAGGGTTTGCCGGTTCAGATGCTAGGCGCAGATCTACACACCACTCATCAAGCCATGCTGTGGCAGGGGCTGGCCCCCGTGGCCGAGTGGTTAAGTTCGTGTGCTCCGCTGCGGCGGCCCAGGGTTTCACCACTTCAGATCCTGGGCACGGACATGGGACCAGTTGTCAGGCCACATTGAGGTGGCATCCCATATGCCACAACTAGAAGGACCTGCAACTAAGATATACAACTATGTGCTGGGGGGATTTGGGGAGATAAAAGCAGGAAAAAAAAAAAAAAAGCCAAGCTATGGCAGCATCCCACACAGAAGAACTAGAAGGACCTACAAGTAGGATATACAACTATGTACTGGGGCTTTGGGGAGAGAAAGAAAAATAAAGAGGAAGATTGGCAACAGATATTAGCTCAGGACCAATCTTCCTCACCAAAACAAGAAAAAAAAACAATATGATGTAAATTTTAAGATGGGCTGAAAATCTTAATCTTAAAATCATAATCTTGTGATCTGTTATTCCTAGTTAACCTCAACACCCAAATGATATTTTGTACTTGTATTCTTTACCCAGCGTCTGAAGATAAAAAATTTCAAAGTATTGAAGTGGTCCTAGGGATCCTGGAGAGAAGGGAGTGTCTCCAGTTGGCCTATGCTAGGAATTTTCCTGTCCTCCAGTCTAACATTGGAGTAGATAGTTCCTGATGCCTGGAAAGGCTCTGGGGCCCTGCGGGGTGAGGGGCTGGGTGTAGTTAATAGCATTAAGACTGCCCTCAAAGACAACACCAGTGGTTTGACCTTCACCACAGTTTGCATGTCATTTACTCCACGTGTAATGTATCCTGATTTCTCTTGTTTCTTTTTGTTGTTACTGTTTACATTGGTCTGAACCCAGTGAAATAACTAACTGAGCACAGGGGTTTTTGAGGGGTGGGAGGGTGACCTGAATTAGACTTTAAGAGAAAGTTTGGGATTGGTTTCCTCTAACTAATAATGTAATCACAAAAAAAGAATGCAGCATCCTAGGGCACTACTCATTTGAGAACCATGGTCCTCGTATTCCTTTTCCATGTGTATTATTCAGGGTTCAACCAGGGAAGCAGCACCAGTAGAAGATATATATATATACCTCTTCTTTTTTTTTTCTTAAAGATGGACACCTGAGCTAACAACTGTTGCCAATCTTCTTTTTTTTTTTTCTGCTTTTTCTCCCCAAATCCCCCAGTACATAGTTGTATATTTTAGTTGTGGGTCCTTCTAGTTGTGGCATGTGGGACGCTGCCTCAGCGTGGCCTGAAGAGCGGTGCCATGTCCATGCCCAGGATCTGAACCAGGGAAACCCTGGGCGCTGAAGTGTAGTGCAAACTTAACCACTTGGCCATGGGGCCAGCCCCTATATATTTTCTTAATAGCATTTATATAGATTTACACAATTGTGGAGGCTGGCTAGGAAAGTCCAAAAATCTGTAGGGCAAGCCATCAGGAAGGACAGTCTGGAACTCTCCAGCAGGGGCTGAAGCTACTGTCCTTGGGAAATTGCTTCTTCAGGGAGGCCTCAGATCTGCTCCTACAGTCTTTCAACTTATTAGATCAGGCCCCCCCTGATTAATGTCATCTATTCATCTCCTTTAATCTCATTTACAAAATACTTTCACAGCAACACCTAGATTAGTGTCTGAATAACCAAGGATTATAGCGTAGCCAAGTGAACACGTCAAAGACCATCACACCAAGGGAAGGAAAAAACATTACACAGCTGTAGGCTAAGGGGATTCAGGTTTATGTCGATTTTCTCCCAAGTCCCTCCTAAGAATGGCATAGGTAAAAACCTGGGCGAAAGTAGACCAGAATATTTGCACTGAGTGCCTTTGGGTGTTGGGGAACATGTTGATGTGCATCTTGCCGACTGCCTCAATCTTCATCCTGTTCTCTTTCTCCTCGTTGCTGGGATATTCCGATTATCTCTTTACTCGGTAGAATCCAGATTCACAGACTGTATTGCCATTCCCAGAGACTGTTTAATAACATATTCTTGAATATGACTCATTTATTTATGACTAGCTTCAGCTAAAACAAACAGATACCTCAGTGGGGGAGATGTTTAGTTGAGCCAGCAAATCTCCTCAAATGATGAGTCTAATTTCTTCTTTATGACCCCCCTGTGGTGTATGTAATTGAGTTTGGTTGTTTCTTATGCATTTATACATAACATTTGTTGGTGTATTTTGCTTTTTTTTTAAGTCAGAGAGAAAATTGAAAGTCTTTATTATGAAGCATGCCAGGAAATAGGGATACCAGTTAGGAAAAATTTTTAGTGTTTTTTTTTTTTTTTTTTGTCCTTCCTTCTGCTTCCCTACTTGCTGGTGAGTTCCGCAGGGATCCTGAGCACCTGCTGTATGTCAGGCACTGCCAGGTCCTGAATGAAAGGGGAAGAATTTGCACATGTAAAGCACTATTGCTCATGCAAGCTTTTAGAGATGCTCAGTTTTTCACCACCACCCTGAATGGAGGAAGAAACGGAATCCTCAAAGTAACCCCAAAATTTGGTGCCAGATCCTAGTTATGGGGTAACTATTTCCTTAATGAGGTATAAGGGAAAAAGTCCTTTTCCAAAGCTTTCTAGACAATCAAGTTGCAGCTTTAAAAGAAATGTTAAGCAGCCACATTTGGAAAAGAGATTGGCATTTTCCTAAAATGTTAAACATAGAGTTATCATATGACCCAGCAATTCCACTCCTTGGTATATACCTGAGAGAAATGAAAACTTGACCACACGAAAACTTGTACACAAATGTTCATAGCAGCATCGTTCATAATAGCCAAAAAGTGGAAACATCCCAAATGTCCATCAACTGATGAATGGATAGAATGTTACATCCATACAATGGAATATTATTTCATAATAAAAAGGGATGAAGCACTGATATGTGCTACTATATGGATGAACTTTGAAAACAGTATGCTGAGTGAAAAAAGCCAGACACGAAAGACCGTATGATTCCATTTATGTGAAATGTCCAGAATAGGCTAATCCATAGAACCAGAAAGTAGATTATTAGTTGCGGCGAGAGGGAGGTTGGTGGGGAATGACTGATAATAGATACAGAATTTCTTTTCGGGTTGATGGAAATTTTCTAAAAGTCGATGGTGGTGATGGTTGCACAACTCTGTGGATATAGTAAAAAGTTACTGTATTCTGCATGTTAAAAGGGTAGCTTGTATGGTATGTGATTTATATCTAAATAAAGCATTTTTTTAAAGTCTTCAGAACCAAAAATTAAACACAGAAATTTTACTGCAATGCTGTAGCTTTGACAGCATCTTTAGAAAACCCAAAATTGCCTCCATGGTATCAGATGTTGTAAATTGTGTTCAATCCGTAAAAGTTATCTAACATTTCATGGTATCAGAATTTTTTATGGTCTCGTGGTCGTTTTCTCCAAGGGTGATTAAAACGTTCTCGTCTTAGAGCGGCACTTCTCTCCCCACCGCTCACACGCTTAGTACAGTGAAGACTTACCGACCTGGCTCCTAACGCCAGCCCTGGCCCCTGTTAACTTTGTGGATTCACACTGGTTACAGGAAAGCCTTGCGGAACCTCGATTTCCTTACCTAGTAAATGGGATTAATAACGACAACTTCGTAGGGTAATTTCAGGGGTTTTGTAAGTTAAATTTTTGGCACACGGAACATACCCTGCAGATATCAAGTCCTGCTCCCCCATCCCTACTACTTTAGCAAAATCACTTCACCTTAGAGCTTACAGAAAATATTAATAACGAAATCGCAAAGAACAGGCTTGTGATCTCCTTTTCATCTTAACATATTGCCTTGTGCGTCCTTCCCTCCGTCTTGAGACAAATAATCCCCTCCCATCAAAATCCCCACCACTTTATTCTCGACTCCATTTTTTTCTGTCCTCAAGTCCATGCTCTCTTGTCTTACCCTTAAGTATTTTAAACCTCACCACAGATTACTTTTCTCTATCCTCAACTTTCTTGGAGCTTTCTTATATTAAACAACTTCCGTAACTTTAGCATAAGCCTTACTAATGTCTGTCACATTTGTGTTTTGCACATGTTTTTATCTCCTTTGAGACTCAGCTAAGGCGTTGCGCTCCAAGGAGTGTTGTCCCGCACACCCACCCAGACGGTGCACCTCCGCTGTGCCCACCTGGCACCCTCCACACATCCCCACTGGGATCCTTTTCACTTTACAGCCACTGTTGCATATTCCTCTGCCTGCCATCACCATCTTTTTGGTACAGGGAGTGTATTTTTTTAAAATCTCTATTCCCAGCATCTGGCATATCTCTAGTAAAGTAGAGATGCAGAAATTTTCACGGAATGAACAGTCCATAGGTGATTGATGAAAATGGGATCATCCCACATAATATCACTTTGTAACCTGCCTTTTTTCCTCATTTGATATATTAAAAGATGAATTTCTTGAAATATTTTTAGTGGCTGCATTGTATTCATTTATGAGGCTGGAGCATAGTTGAACTGATTTTTAGTAGTTGGAAATCACATTTTTAAAGAC